TACGTAATCGTACACAAATAAGATTAGCATAGGACTCGCGGCTCAACCGAGAGACACGCACACACACTCGCTTTTCGGGCTCGGAGAAACAATCGCTGGGCTCTCTCTTTCTGTGTTGAAAACCAGAGAAACGAAAGAGAAGCAGACAGAGAGAGAGAGAGAGAGAGAGAGAGAAATCTGTTTTAAATTTATCTCTGACGAGATTCTGTCTCTCTGTTTGTCTCGAACTTTCTCGCTCGCATTCGCGATTCGACGAGCTCGCCTATGGAACCTGCCGAAGAACGAGTCGAGCAGCGCGAGTTTCCAGGATTCGATGTACGTTCTTCGTTGTTGTGTCCACGCGCGAGGACTCGCTTTCGCGCGACACGGAAACGCGATTTCGAAACAGGCATTCTAAACAGTCTTCAGACAGGCAGAGGCGCGTTTATTCGAGGAATCGAAAACAGGTCTCGGAACAATTGACAAACAAGTCGAAGTCCTGCGAGACGTTTCTACAAACACAATTATAAGTAGAAAAAGAAGAAGAAGAAGAAGAAGAAAAAAAACAAGACTCGTATATATTTTTTTCAAGTACCGATCAACGAATGATTAATCCTGAAGAGGACGCGGAAGAAAGAAATTTGAAAGATGTTTTCTGATTTATTTCAGAAAATAATATAATTGAAAGAAAGCAATTGTTTCATTTCGTTTTTCATATATTCTTTATCGTTTGTTTACTTTCGTATATGTTAGTATTTATCCTGTTTTTCTGCAAACGTGAAAAATTTCCACGTCTCGGATGAGGAATGGAGAAAAGACAGCAATCTGTATAAAAAATTTCAAATAAAAACTGAAAAGTTACAAAGTAGATATTTTCCGTGATTCCTATGGCAGAATTAACTATGGTCCCCTCTGCGAGATTTCCAAGAGAAACTTGGATTGGAGGGGACCGATAGCACAGTGTTCTGCTTTTACACTCCGCAATCTACTTGATGATAGAACTTAATAAAACAAATCCGGCTGCGTAAACAACGAGGTAAAGAGACCGGAGTCGACGCGAGATTCAGACAACAGCGAGAGTTTTCATGTTCCCGATGTTCCCGAAGCCAACGAATGATGGCGCCGGATACCAAGACGTTTCGGGCGCTCGAACACCATTAGATAAGATCAATATTGCTCAAAACACGGTGGAAGTTTAACGCGCGCACATTACACGGCATTTATATCATGAATATTCCGCCCCGGGGCTTCTTCTTCCCTCTTTTCGTTCTCGCCCGGCTTCTTCGGTCCCTTGCAACAACCATCTCTAGCCAACCCTTTCTTTGTTATCTCGCGTTTGACTTTGTACAAGTACCGGCGTCGCCAAAACGGAAACTCCTTTATCTCTTATTAAACGAACGTCGAATTTAAATTAATCCGAATTTTGTCATTTTACCCGGCAATTGTATCACGAAATAATTTTCGTATTGTCGCAAAGATCCTCAGATCGTAGAAATAATTAATATCTTAATCTTACTCT